TTTTTTCAAGTAATTATTATTGTATTTTACAAAGTCAGGACAGTCAAATATTTATTTCAAAACTAGACTATAGCCGAAATTATAATTATTTATAATATTTCAAGTACACAATGTTGACAATGTTTACCAACCATTTACTCAGGACTCCCAGATAATCCAAATAACATCATAGCATGTACATTGAGACTTCAACTCGTGTACAGTGCAGTAAGTTTATTTCAGAATTAAATAATATTATTATTTATCAGTAATCATTATTATTATAATAGTATCTCTAATACTGTATTTGTATCCAAGTATTGTGAATAAATGTAAAACATGTACAAATCATTCACAATATTTTTTTAGATTCACAATTTATATTGATATTTCATTAAAATCTAATAGCAAATTTATGACAAACATAATTTTCATGCAACTCTACAGTGATGTATGAATGTGACTCAAGCTACAAAGTAAACAGATTGCAAAATTATAAAATTAATCAATATCAATCAATAACAATTAATATCAATTAATATCAATCAATATCAATCAATATAAATTATCTATCAATAAAGTGTACTAATTCATCAATTAATCCATAACTCATGCTTAGCGAAAATGAACAGAACATAGAGTACTACACTACAGTATGGAAACAATCAACAAACAAATCTACCTATAATCAATCAATATCAATCAATAAATGAATCAATCAGTAACTCATGTTTACCAAATGAATGAAACTAAATAGTATAAAATAAATTTATCACTTAATCATATATTCATGCTTAGGACCAAATGGTAATACAGATTATGGTGATCGAAATCAATTATCAACTAATCTATCAATCAACCAATCAATTATAAACCAACCAAACAATCAATCAATATATTAACAAATTAATTAACTTATCAATCAGTCAATCAATTAATTACTTAATCAATCAAGCAAAAGTTTTTAAAAGACCTCTAAGGTAAAAACTATCCCAGAATGCTTTACGTATGACAACCACCATAGTACAAAGGTTATATTCTGTGACACATCACATTCCACAGTCACGTTGAAGCAATAATATAATTATTGAAATTACAGCAGTTTTTGTAGACTTTAGTACTAACTAAAAAAATGCTTACAATACCTCCACTAACATTGCCATTCTAAATTAATTTATAGTGGTTTCATGTACCATACAGTATGTACAAATGGACGGATTTGGGGTTGCTAGTCAGCCTAGGCTCCCATATTCTTTTCTTTTCTTTTTTTTCACCGGGAAATAAGAAAAGAAATATTTAAATTTCCAGCCATCCAGATACAGTAATGCCACACCATAAAACTTTGAATTGAAGCCCTGGGCTTCTTTTTATGCAAACTTTGGATGAGCTTCTTTTTAAGATGGGCTATAATTTGGGGCTACTTTTGAAAAGCAAAGAGGGGGGACTTCTTTTCAAAATGAATGAAGTAAATTTTAGGAATTACTACTATAAAACAATAAATAGGGTCACTGTAACATGAATCATATTCATTAATTATTACACTAATTATTATAAAAAGATGATGTCAGGTGACTGGTGATTTCTTTGTTCATTCTATTTCTTAATCCAAAAGTATTTTACCATTTACTGTAGATGAATTAAATTTTTAATTGATTTTATGGACAATGAATTCAGACAGAGTCATGACTGAACAGACCTGCTTATTTTGAATAACAAAATTATTAATTTAAGTCTGCTTTAAATTCTTTTTAGTATAATAATGATTTGCAATAATACAATATTGTTTACTACTACAGCAGTACATGTATTCTAGTTCTGGAATCCATCAGAAATGAATATTTTCAGACAAATACATTACGTTACATTTTTCTATTTGAAAAATAAATTATTGTTCTCTGAGCCTATAATTTGTTTAAATTCAGGTTACACACTAAATTCCATTATAAACAACATTTTTGAATCTTATTTCCGAGAACCTCTTTCTAGAATGTATCATTCTATTTCTATTCTTATTGATGTTAGCGCATAGGTCTCTATGATATGCGCTCTACAAGTCGACCATTACTATTATTGCATCATAATACTTGACTCTGTATTTTGAACTTTGCCTTTTCGAGGTTGCAACATGCATTATGCTCTAGTAATTGTACTGTAGAGTCAACACATCATGGATAAAACTGCAGTCTCAAACCTAGAGAGATTTTACAAAACTCTGATCAATAGGACAAAAATGGTACTACTATCTAAACCACAGTAGTAATAAACCGTGGAGATCTTTACATAACCTTAGTCCCTGGTTCAATACCATCCACTGCATTCCTTGTGTTTCATCTAGATCTGGAAAGCTCTTGGTATACAGTACTACCAAATTCATCAACATGGAAAATAGCACGGCTTGTGATTTAAGGCAAGGGTGTGCACTCCCACACCATCACTAACCGAAACTCCTCTTCAGGGTTGTGAAAAATTGAGCATCCTTGGGTTTGAAAATCACTCCCCTTAAATTTAGTCAAAACTCCAAATACTGTGGAAATTTCTTTCTGCTAGGATGTATTTTGTGTTGTTTTGAACCCTAGCAATACTTTGCAATAGTGATTATGTTTATATTCTACAGAAACTTAAATTTACCCCTCTCTCAAATATTCATTTCCCTAAACAAAATTAGGTGTCTGTTTTTTAGCTCCTGCCATTTTCAAATTACAAGCCCTGAAAAGCCTGGTTCACGTCAAACTTTTATCTAGATAGATCCACTTAACTAGTTAAAAACCACTCAATTATAGCTAGATAAAGGCTTAAGTCACTTAAAGTTAAGTGACTTAACTTCACTAAAGAGTAGTGGACTGTTACCCAATTCACCACAAGAAGAACCCTGCTGGAAATACTGTAAATCTCTGTAGGGTTATCTCTGGTGTTTTCCAAAAATCGAAAGGTCCACTGATTAATCTCAGATAAGATAGTATAATGCATACTCCAAGTATGGAAATGCACGCCATCGTGTCGGGATTCAATATTTCGACATTAATTATGTCATTATCAGGAATAAAAAAAATTATCCATATTTGCAAGCTTATATGCACAAGTACCAAAAGTGTTCAACCACATCAAAATCTTTTCAGACAAGACTATCGATATTTTCACACTTAAGAATAAAAAAAAAATTAGGTTACATACATTTTCAGATAATATTTTCGTTATTTTTTTATGTTTACAGACTTGTTTGCCATGATTGAACTGCATCCAAATTTCGCTCTTCTCTTAGCATTAAAGAAGCTACTAGACTACTACTACTGTTGAATACAATATTAAACTAACAGATGCCAGAAAAGAACTGTAAATTGATGTAATTAATTAATTATATTGATGTAGTAATGAATAATGTACAGATTAGTAGATTTCAGAATTTATGTAATTTCATGGTATTAATTTACATTGTGTAAATAAAAATGAAAGGAAGAGCAAGTTAACTGTATGTTTGATCATTGAATGTCAAGTATTTGATATTATGAGTAGTTGAGTATTGGCTGCAATGCGACGCGTTTTGTATTTGCAGGCGGCTAAAAGTTCCCGACAAAATCTCCTGCGAATGGAGTTCTTCAACTTGGGACCCCTGTGTACGGATAATGAGTAAAGTATCAATAAGTGAAAATTTTACCAGTAACGATCTTTATAAACGGTTACCCTAATAATGATAATGGATGTACAGTGGACCCTAATAATGATAATGGATGTACAGTACATTAACATTATTATTATCAGGCCTGAATAATGTTAATGGATGTACATATAATATAATGGGCTCTTATCCTTATGGATGTACATATTCAGGCCCGTATTTAGGGAGGGGGGGTTCGTCCTCCATGAGAAACGGAGCGTGTAAGCGGTATCTAGCAGCATCCAATCAGTTTCGCCATAGCGCGCTATGTCATTGGGATATTCCCTTGATAATTTCCGCAATTGATTTTGATAAGGAGTTCCGCATAGTTCCAAGCCAAACCCCCCCCCCCCATTGGCCTATATAAAATCATTCTTTATTAAAGAAAACACAATAAAAGAATGTCACAAAAAACCCAGTTCATGGCTTAATTAGGCACATGCAGGGTGGAGGCAGAACAGAGACAAAAAAAAAACAAAACAAGAAATCAATTACAAATAAAGACGATTCACCCACTCAAGCGAGTGTCTGGCGTTCCAGTTAACATAGCTGCTAGTCAATGCCACTTTGCAAATTTGCTGTTTATACTTTTTATATCGATTACTTAATTTTAAAATTATTTAGGTCTCGTTTCATTATCTTTAGAAAAAAACTCCCCTAGAACCCACATCCAGGCAAAACAATGTGCATTTTAACTCGTACTAGCACTAGGCCTAGCCAAAATTAAATTATTTTAAAGTATCTTTTTTATGAATGATTTATTAGAATCCTGGCTGGGCAACTTTTCACTCTCACTAGATAGAAGGTTCAACTTCACTTCAACACATGTCTGTGACGATTTGCGTTTACGCTAAGGACCCCCGGGCTAACTTTAGGACGAAATTCCATTCGGAGACTCGAGAAAAACAATTCTGTATTGTCAGTGTATTTTTTTGTATGTTTTTTTTATGGCAGGATTGTGGATCCTAGGCCTAGATTGTTATAATCATGTTAATTGTTATTTCAAGTTGAACTACCCAGCCTAGGCCAGGCCTAATTGGAATAACCTGAGACGACGTGGGCTACTCATCTGTATTAATTGTTGTATTATTAAAGGTCAGAGATAAATAGGTCCACAAAAAGAGTGGGTGAACCAGTGAATAATCTGTATTTTTTTAAGAGATGGATCACTGGTTTCCTTCCGCTGAATGCAGGATCGCCCCGGCGGAGCTGTGCAATTGGTTCACCGTCATACAATACGACGGCGATATGTACACCTTAACTTCTAAGTCGCAATTTTTACAACACTACAAACTTTAAAATCTTGAAAACCCGGCAGATATTAAATCAAATGTTAAATAATGAATATGTCGGATCATATTTTACGAACCTTTCCAGGAAAGCTGAATAACGCAGAAAATTATCCTCTCCCAAGTTACCTTCGTTTAATGCTGGTCGGCCATCTTACGACATGACGTCACTTTTGCCTCGTTATGGTGAATAGACGTTGTTGATGCCAGAAAAGTTTCCGACCTTATAGGCCTACTTTGACAGGAAACTGGGGTTACGATCGCAATAGCGCAGACCAGATAAGTAAAGGACACACCGCTTTGGACGGACGTAGTTGTGCATCTAGAGTTGCATGAGGTAGTGGGAGGGGAGGTGGCGTGCGAGCTTGTGTACTTCCCATGGCCCCAGTTTTTACCCGTCGGGCCCCCAAATTGCTCCGATCCCCAAGTCGGTCCCTAGTCACTTCCCCAGTCGCTCTCCCATTGGAAATGTCTATGCAATATAAATAGGCCCTATCTGTCTGGGGTCCATAAACTCCAAAAGAAAGCGCTTGAATTAACTACAATGTACAACGCCACCTTTCCCTGCAAAATTTTATAAAAACAAATAGGCCTACCTTACACTTTTTTTATATTTATTTTCATGAATCGATGTGTAATTAATATTAGGCTTAAATGTATTTTATGTAGGCCTATTTACTGTATTAGTAGCTAGCAATTTTGTTGTTTTTTATTTATCAAGCATCAAGTTTGTAATTTTATTCACTTGTTTGGAATATGACAATTCTTATCTTATCCTAAATAGGCCTATCTATGACCTTTTTCCAGTATGAGATGCTCATTTACTAGTAACATAGGCCTCAGGGTGTTTTGCCTGTCAGAATGATTCTGTCCTATAGCTTTGAGTCCTGCCATCCATATAGTAAGTATAGAACTAAAAGCAAAAAGGTGGGATAAAAGCATCACATACCGCGGACAAAATGGAACAAAATCAATTAAAACATAGAACCTGTAGTCTAATATCGATTTTTTAAACATTGCTTCATCAATGCAATGAAATAATACAATCATAATATAAGATCTCAATTTAGATTAGTAGGCTTAAGCCTATAGTTTTCAGAAAATGTGTTAAGCCAGATAAAAACAAATTAATCTTAAATTGGAAGTATTTTATTCATTTATTCTCTCTTATTACTTTTTATCATTCATTATCTTTATTTGTTTATTGGTCCAATTTTTCCTTTTTTACCTTATATGTTTATAGTGTTTTTTTTAAGGGCATTTCGTTTTGAAGGCGTCGGTAGCCTTTTTTCGCTTTTTTCACTATTTACGGTGTTCTCACCTGCGTACATTTATATTTTTGTTCAATAAAGCCTATATTTTGTAATTTACTGTAAATAAGTGGATTAGACTAGAAAAAAAAAATCTGAAAAAAATGATTTAGGGGGAGTGGAATGTTAGAAGCAATCCACATAGCCAGATATCCTAATTATTTCCTTCTGGTCACCCTAAGCACTGTTGACACTTGATTTTACTCCTTGTATACAAATGGCGGCCGTTTTTCAAAATGGCCGCCAAATTTGTCTAAAATGTGCATAAAATTGAAACTAAATAAGCTACAGATATGATTTTGAGGTCTAAACTCATAATTTCTAGACAGGCAACAAACTAGACATATAAAACTACTGTCACTCAAGCCAGAATGGAACATAATTAAAAAATAGGTGTTTATTTGTTTAGAAATAATCGAAAAATGTACATAAAATAATAACGAGTATATAAGCTAGTTTTCTATGTAATCCAGATAGATTTTTTAACAAAAATAGATTTTATTGACAAATTTTATCATTTTTACTGCGCTGAATTCAAAAAAGTTAGGTGCCATTTTTTTCCCAAAGTCCTCGGCCGCCATTTTGAATTTCAAGATGGCTGACGCACCACATAAAACATGGTCATGATTGGTGTCAATGGAAAGCAGTGGCGGATCCGGGGGGGGGGGGTTCAAGGGGTTCGGACGAATTCCCCTCTGTGAAGAAACG